AAAAGTGTTTCACGGGTCTCAGTGGGGAACATGGGGAAGGAGAGAAGGAAAGAAAGGAAGTGAAGTGGTCTACAGGTCTCATCCTGGAGGGCTAAGGGAGAAGAGAAAACAGATTTAGGAGCTGCGAGGACCATGCCCCTTGTTGTGGGACATGGTGAGTTATATGCCTCTGATGATCAGATCAAGGAAATTCACATGAAGGAAATGGGGAGCTCTCCTTAACCAAGCCTGGGAACTCAGAAGCTAAGAAAGAAAAGAGGGGATTTGACTATGTAAACATTAAAATGTTTTATGTGACAAGGGATACCAAAAATAAAGCCAGTGCAAATGATGGAGCTGGAAAAATATTTGTAATACAAATAATAGTCACCAACCATGGTTGCCTAACTTACTGGGTGCCACGCACCATCTTATTGACCTGTATTAACTCCTTTGTGTCTAGAACAACAGTAGGAGGTAGGAATTATAATATTGATGATGATCACTACTTTATAGATGAGAAAACTGGGGCATAACAAGGTTGAATGACTTGCAGAGGTCACATAGCCAGTCAGGGGCTAAGTTCTGATGTGACCCTTGGCAGCCTGCCCCAGAGAAGGATGGTCTTAATCAATTCTCTGCAATGAAGCCAAAGGCCAAATGGATACTATCTAAAAAACTTTTATGGGGACTTCCTTGGTAGTTCAGTGGTTAAGAATCTGGGCTTCCACTGCAGGGGGCCCAGGTTGGATCCCTGGTCAGGAAACTAGATCCCGTATGACACAACTAAACATCCTGCATGCTGCAACAGAGACAGAGCATCCCATGTGCTTCAGCTAAGACCTGGGGCAGGCAGCCAAATAAATAAATACCCATTGCTTTCTCCTATTAGACATATCACCTTTTTTTTTTTCCAGAGATTTTTTTTTTAAATGTGGGTCATTTTTAAAGTCTTTATTGAATTTGTTACAATATTGCTTCTGTTTTATGTTTTATTTTTTGATGGAAAGGCGTGTGGGATCTTATTTCCTTGACCGGGGACCAAATCCATACCCCCTGCATTGGAAGGTGAAGTCTTAACCACTGGACTGCCAGGGAAGTCCCTAGATACATCATCTTACAAAAAGAAAGAAAGCCAATTCTGTAAAAATTAAATTGATTAATTTTTTTAAAAGAGCTTTTACAAATTGACCTGAACAAGACAAACAAAGATGGAAATGGACTTTAAATTATGAACAGATTACTTATAGAGGAGCAAAACCAAATGGTCAACAAATGAATATAAAGCTCTTTAAATTGCACAGTGGTCAGAAGAACGGAAATTAAAGAAGCAATGAAACAGTGCATCCATCAGACTGATTGATGTAACTAAAACAAGCAATGCTCTCAAGTGCTGGCAGGAATGTGGAGAAAAGGGTACATGTAAAGTTTTGTGACCATTTGGGAAAGCAATCTGACAACATCTGTTAAAATGGAAACTAAACCCTTTGGCCCATTAATCCCACTCATGGGAATCCATCCCAAAGAAATAAAAATACCAAAACTTAGGGACAAGTATGTTTATTAGAGCATTGTTTTGTTTTGTTTTTGTGTGTGTGGTAGGAAACTGGCCACAAAATGAATGTCCATCAAAAGGAAAAGGGAAATGATGGAATAAACATATAAATATAAGTAAATATACTAACCCTATATATATTGTAATAAAATTGATCGGTATCTGCAACCTGGCAGCCTGTAGGCCCCGAGGCTTGGCAGATGTGTTTTTGGTGAGCCAGCAATGTTTTTATAAATTCCTGCAGGCTTCTGAGTCTAGGACCCCCTGCAAATATTTTCACTAGACACAAAGTCTGTCCTTGAAAGGGCCACAGTACACAAATATGTGGTATATGTGAGGTATTACCCTTTTAAGGGCGGAAGCCAGGGTGGAGGTACTGGTGAGGATGTGGAGAAATTGGAGCCCTCATATATTGCTGGTATGAATGTAAAATGGTGCTACCACTGTGGAGAACAGTTTGGTGGGTCTTTGATAAGTTAAACGTAGAGTTACTATAGGAACCCAGCAATTCCACTCCTATGACTATATCCAAAAGAACTGAATGGATGTTCAGACAAACACTGGAACACAAATGGTAGTAGCAACACTATTCACAGTATCCAAAATGTGAAAACAACTCAAAAGTCCATCAGCAGATGAATGGATAAACAAATGTGGTCCATCCATCTGAACATACAATAAAATATTATTCAGCCATAAAAAAGGAATAAAGTGGGACTTCTGGCAGTCCGGTTGTTAAGATTCTGTTTCCACTGCAGAGGACACAGGTTCTATCCCTGGTCCTGAAAGATCCCACATTCTGTGGGGCAACTGGTACACCACAACTACTGAAGCTCTCACACCCTAGAGCCTGTGCTCTGAAACAAGAGAAGCCCATGCACCACAACTAGAGAGTAGCCTCTTCTCCCTACAACTAGAGGAAGTCTACATCCAGCAACTAAGACCCAGTGCAGCCAAAAATAAATGGGTAAAATATTTTTTAAAAGGTTATGATGAGTGAAAACATTATGATGAGTGGTAGAGGCCAGACATAAAAGACCACTTATTTCAAGGCAAATCCATAGAGACAGAAAGTAGATTAGTAGTGTCCAGGACCTGGGGGGTAGGGGAGGGAGTTGTGGGAGAATCAGTTCAGTTTAGTCGCTCAGTCGTGTCTGACTCTTTGCGACCCCACGGACTGCAGGCTTCCTTGTCCATCACCAACTCCCAGAGCTTGCTCAAATTCAAGTCCATCAAGCCAGTGATGCCATCCGACCATCTCATCCTCTGTTGTCCCCTTCTCCTCCTGCCTTCAATCTTTCCCAGCATCAGGGTCTTTTCCAATAAACAGGCCTGCTTAATAATGGGTTTAGGGTTTTTGTTTGGGGTAATGCAAAAATTCTGGAATGAGATCGTGGTATTGGTTGAACAACATTGTGAATGCAGTTAATGCAATTTTAAGATAGTTAAAATGGGCTTCCCAGGTGGCGCTAGTGGCAAGGAACCTGCCTGTCCACGCAGGAGACATAAGAGACATGGGTTCAATCCCTGGGTTGAGAAGATCCCTTGGAGAAGGGCATGGCCACCCACTCAGTATTCCTGCCTGGAGAATTCCGTGGCCAAAGGAGCCTGGCGGCTACAGTTCATAGGATCACAAAGAATAGGACACAACTGAAGCAACTTAGCTTGCATACACGTTATACATATATTTTACCACAATAAGAAAAAATTCACAGAGTGGGACAATTAGTAAAAAATTTTTTAAAACTCTGAAAAGGTAACCAGGGAAGGGGCAATAAAGGAAAAGCGGTTGAGAAATACTGGAATAAAGACTAGTTTATGGGAACTTCCCTGGTGGTCCTGTGGCTAAGACTCTGCACTCCCAATGTGGGCGCTTGGGTTTGATCCCTGGTCAGGGAACTAGCTCCCACAGCCACAACTGAGAGTTGGCATGCCACAGCTAAGACCCAGCACAGCCAAATAAATAAATAGAGACTAGTCTGTGCTTCAGCATAGTAAAGATCATCAGCCTCAAGGAAAACCTAAACAATTCACCTTAAAAAAAACACACACACAAAAAAAACAGTGAGAGGGGCCTCCCTTGCAGTCCAGTGGTTAGGACTCCAAACTTTCACGCCGTAGCCCATGTTCAGTCCCTGGACAGGAAGTTAAGATCCCACAAGCTGCTTGGCACAACCAAATAAATAAATAAAACAGTGAGGGATCTTGTAAATCCTTGAGGTAAGCCAGCCTCCTTTTCTCTTTCTAATCCAGGATTTGGGGTGTGCTCTTTAACAGCCCACAAGGCTTTGAGTTTAAGCACTGTTCCTTGTTCAACTTTTGTCTGACTCTGTGTTCCTTGGGAACTTCTGGGTTATCTGAGGTAATGAATGTTATATAAGCAACTGAAATGAGCTTGCTGGGGAAACTGTCAAGGCTTGTGGAGGTCTGGGACCACACTGTCTTTTTTTTTTTTTAAGATTATTTTTTCGATGTGGACCATTTTTAAAATCTTTATGGAATGTGTTACAATGTTTCTTGTTTCATGCTTTGGGTTTTTGGCCATGAGGCACACGGGATCTTAGGTCCCTGACTATGGATCAAACTGGCACACCCTGCACTGGAAAGTGAAGTCTTAACCTCTGGACCACCAGGGAAGTCCCTAGATAATACTGTCTTAGCTTACATCCAAATACCATCTGATAGAAGACACATCATTATGTGCCACGAAGACAGGAAGTGAATGTACACCCACTGTGGCAAAATAATTTTGAAAATGTCATCATTTTGAAAACATTTGACTGATATTTTTAGTCTTGGATTTTTTATATTATTTTAATGCCCAGTTTTTAAATTTCCTATGTCACTCTTGATTGTATATAAAAAGGAAAATGGAAATAAACTGGTTACGGTACTCCTACAATGCCTTTCTACTTAGAATCTGACTCTTCTGATCAGTCTTCAACACAGTCACACTGAGGTCTGTGTTTTTCACTGAGCATCATCCTCCATGACTCAAGAACGCTGATGATGCAGCATTTCTTAAGACTGAACCACGGTTGGCACTGGGCTCTACTGCCAACTTAGGGATCATGCAGGGAGCCTCCTTCTGAATCTTCCAATGGGAATGCTGCTAAACGTGTCTGATCCTCTTCTTGCCTCACCCCTCCTCCAACACCTGGGCTCTCGGAAGTGAGAAGAGTGCTGCACTGTTTCCCAGAGGCACTGACACCCTTCTTGGGCCTTTCAATCCCCATGCTCTTGGTGCGCACCTTCCTGCAGGCAGGCAATGTCCACCACTTCAGGACTGCTGCCTCCACAAACACAACAGTTAAGACACCAGTGGTTAAGACTACACCTTCCGCCGCCATTTCGTGGACGCCGGGTGTGCGAGAGCATCCGGGAACGCTGGGCGGGAGGGGACTGAGAAGACCTAGCCTAGGTTCTGTGGATTTGGATCTCCGCACTTCTAACCCAAGATCTCGAAATGCATCGTGATTCCTGTCCATTGGACTGTAAAGTTTATGTAGGTAATCTTGGAAACAATGGTAACAAGACTGAATTGGAACGAGCTTTTGGCTATTACGGACCACTCCGAAGTGTGTGGGTTGCTAGAAACCCTCCCAGCTTTGCTTTTGTTGAATTTGAAGATCCCCGAGATGCAGCTGATGCTGTCCGAGAGCTAGATGGGAGAACACTGTGTGGCTGCCGAGTAAGAGTGGAACTATCGAATGGTGAAAAGAGAAGTCGTAATCGTGGCCCACCTCCTTCTTGGGGTCGTCGCCCTCGAGATGATTATCGGAGGAGGAGTCCTCCACCTCGACGCAGATCTCCAAGACGGAGAAGCTTCTCCCGCAGCCGGAGCAGGTCCCTTTCTAGAGATAGGAGAAGAGAGAGATCACTGTCCCGGGAGAGAAATCACAAGCCGTCCCGCTCTTTCTCTAGGTCTCGTAGCCGATCTAGGTCAAATGAAAGGAAATAGAAGACAAGTTTGCAAGAGGAGTGGTGTACAGGAAATAACTTCATTTGACAGGAGTATGTACAGAAAATTCAAGTTTTGTTTGAGACTTCATAAGCTTGGTGCATTTTTAAAATGTTTTAGCTGTTCGCATTTGTTTGTCTGTTGGAACAGTGACACAAAGGTGTAATTCTCTATGGTTTGAAATGGATCATATGGGGCATGTAATATCAAGAATTGTTACTTTACAATGTTCCCTTAAGCAAAATTTAATTTGCTTTGAATTTTGGTCTTGCATAGGCTGATAATAAACCTTTTAACTCCTGCCCAGCTAAAGTCAATGTTTGTAACATTATGGAAATAAAAACTGGCAAAAATTGGAATATTTTTTTCAGCATAGCTGGGATATGGTATGTAGCTGTAGTTAAGCAGTTTTTAAAAGCTGCTGTGAACTCAGAAACCAGCTGGAAAAATTAAAGCTTCACCCTTAAACCAGATTAAAGGTTTAAAAATCCCACTAGTCTTCACACTGGACAAAAGGTTGTCCAGTTGGTGTAGAATCTAAGAAGTTTCAAGGAAGTTAGTTTACCTTTGCTTTAGGTTGTAAGTTCCTTCTGTGATTGCTGTATATGAATACATAGCTCTTTGTAACGTTCTTTATTTGGAAATCTGAGATACTCAAGATAACAAATGTCCTTCCTGTTTAAGGGTACATTGTAGAGCTGAACTGAGTTACTGTGCAAGATTCTTTTTTCATGCTGTCATTTGTAATATGTTTTGTAAGAATCCTTGGGATTAAAGTTTTGGTTACAAATTGTTGTTTAACTTGAAAGCCTGTTTTTCCTTGCAAAACTAAAATCTGAGCTTGGTACCAAGTCCAGGTGTAACATTCCTATTGGAAGCCATACTTATATTTTCTTGTAAAGTGCTTTTGAAAATAAAATATAAGCATAATTGTAATAGTTGAACCCACTATTTTTTTTTTTTTTGTCTTTTAAAAAGATTTTATTAAAGGTCTTTGCAGAGCAACATTCAAATTCCAGATCCAGCGGCCAAGGAGACCTATTATGCTGTGGGTACCGGCTGGGGCATGGCAGGCGGCTCTGGCTTCCCACCCTTCTGTTCAGAGATGGGGGTGGTGGGCAGTATTTCATCTTTGGGTTCCACAATGCTCACGTGATCAGGCAGAGGCTTCTTAGGGCCAATCTTACCAGTTGGGTCCCAAGGCAGCATGATCTTTACCTTGATGCCCAGCACACCCTGTCTGAGCAGCACATGGCGCACGGCAGTGTCAACATAGTAGTTAACAGGGTCCCCACTGTGGATCATGAGGCCATCCACAAACTTCATGGATTTAGCCCTCTGTCCTCGAAGTTTCCCCGATACCACGACCTCGCAGCCTTTGGCCCCACTCTCCATGATGAACCGCAGCACACCATAGCAGGCCCTCCTCACAGCAAGGCCTCCTAGGAGCTTGTAACGCAGAGATTCTGCCTGGGCAATGGCACACAGTCCTCTTGTGGCTACCTTTTCAGCGTAAAGCTCTACACTGCCTTCAGGGAAGCCAAATCTCTTCTGAACCACAGCAGTCAACTCCCGGATCCGCCGGCCCTTCTCACCAAGTACATTCTGTGTCCTGGTGGCCAAGATAATGATTTCTGTCCTGGTTGGTGTAACTCGGACCTCAACTCCAGAGTACCCATCTTCAGCCAGCTCCCGAGTGAGAAACTCGTTCAGTTCAGCTTTGAAGATGCCATCAGCGACAAACTTCCCAACTGAGGTCCTCGGGGTCAGAAGGCTGCAGCCAGACACGCCTTCCTCTTCTTGGAAATTTGCACGGCCATCTTGCCGCCGCGAGCCGCCGAAAGGAAAGCTGAACCCACTATTACCATAGTTCTTGTCCCACAGAAGGCAGTTGGTTACACAAATCTTATTTTTTAAGAAATAACGTTCGAGGCTTTTGAAGTGAAGGGACTTTCTGGTTGTCCACCTAAGTGATATGTTTTTAGGAGCAGAACCCAGTTTAAAGTCCATGATTATTCAGTGACCAACATTTTAAAGTATAGCCACCTGATACATTATAATCCAAAGTTGCCAGTAAAAAGCTTTTATCACTAGCATGAAAATGTTCCACAGAGCTTTAAAAATTGCTTCCATTTTATATAATTTGAGGTGTTGCATGGGAATTCTAAATTGATCCATCATTATGTGAAATTCACTACATGGTTCAAATGTAACAGTGCAGAATTGAAATATGGAGGCATGCATAATCTTCCTCTTAGATATCTAGAGGAGTTGTAATTTCAAACTTCTGTGCAATTAGATTAAATCATAATGCAACAACAACAACAAAAAAAGACTACACCTTCCATTGCAGGGGGTGCAAGTTAGATCACTGATCAGGGATCAGGGATCAGGTGCAGCCAAAATAGAAACAATGCCAGCTATGGTTAGGTACATCCCAAGTCATCAAAATGTGATGAAAAACAAGATACATTTTAGCTTGTTATTTAGTTGCTAAGTCGTGTCCAACTCTTTTGCGAAGCCATGGACTATTGCCCTCCAGGCTCCTCTGTCCATAGGATTTCCCAGACACGAACACTGGAGTGGGTTGCCACTTCCTTCTCCAGGGGATCTTCCTGACCTAGAAATCGAACCCACGTCTCCTGCATTGGCAGGCGGGTTCATTACCACTGAGCCACCAGGGAAGCCCTACATTTTAGCTTATATCAATGAAAATGGTATGACAGGAGAAAGAAGCTCTAGGATTACCTCCGTTCTTACGATGTGGCCTCAGTAGGTCATTGTTCTGACTTCTGATTGTCTTCTTTCAAGGTCTCTTGGCTTGTGACCAACTCCAACAAAAGTGTCTGTTTCTTGCATATCTTACGTTCAGACTTCCATAAAGGGAGGACCTATCTGGATTGTCACTGTTCAGCATCTTCCCCTATATGATTGTGTCTAAATAGTCACTGTCCTATGGGAGAGAGTTGAATGGTGATCCTCAACCCATTCAATGTCCATGGCTTAATCCCAGAACCTTAACTTGTGAATGTTACCTTGTATGGAAAAAGGCTTTTGCAGATATAATTAAATTTAGGATCCCAACATAAGCTCATCCTGGATTATCTGGATAAGCTCTAAATCCAGTGACAAGTGTGTCTCCTTATAAGAGACACACAGAGAGGAGAAAACCATGTGAAGACAGAAGAGAATGGAGTGAGGTGGCCTCAGGTCAGGGAACACTGGGGACCCCCATAGTTGCAAGCCACAAGAAAGGTTCCTCCCTTGAGCCTTCATGGGGAAGGTGGCCCTGTCAACACCTTGACTTTAGATGTCTGGTCCCCAGAACTGTCAGAGAATAAATTTCTATGGTTTTAAAGCTCCAAGTGTGGTGGTAATTTGTTACAGCAGCCCCAAGAAACTAACATACAGTATAGAGTGCCTTTTTGAGCAAAGCTTATGTACCAGGCCAGATTACAGCTGTCAGTCAACCAATGGATGACTCCTCCGGGCTGGTCTAGTCAACTGAAGCCCGAATGGTGACACGACACGGCACTTGGGCCATGGGCTCCTCTTATAGCACAGCACAGAGGGACACAGCGATTGCATTTCGATTTTTCGAAACATTCCCCAGCCTGGCCTTTATGGGTCTAAACAATCCTTTATTTTCAAACCTAGTATTACTTTTCCCATGAACATTCTGTTGGAAACAAATGAGTCCCCATTATACTCTAAGTAGTGTCCCTGGAGCCTCCTGCACTTGGCCTTGCTGGCTAATTGAGGGACCTCAGTGACATTGGCTGGAGTCACCGCTTTCCCTTAACCACTCTTTACAGGAAGTCTGCAATCATTCCTTGTGTCTGTTGTCAGGGAGGGTCTAATCAGAACACTTCCTCTCTTCCACACTTTCACTGTGCCCTGTGTTTTTATTTCTTTGTCACATTGATCACAATATTAGTTTTAAAACAATTTGCATAATCTCAATGTTCATAGCAACATTACTTACAATTGTAAAGAAAGGGAAGCAACATAAGTGACCATCAACATATGAATAGATAAAGAACATATGGTCTCTGCACTCTATATTTATATATGCATATGTAATATATTTATATGTATACATATATATAATAGATACAGTATAATACTACTCAGCCTTATAGAGAACAATATTTTGCCATTTGCAGCCACATGGATGGACTTAAACGGCACTACTCTAGGTGAAATAAGTCAGACAGAGAAAAATATGACATCACTTAAATGTGAAATCTAAGAAATACAACAAAGCAGTGAATATAACAAAAATAATGCAGACTCACAGATACAGAAAACAAAGTAGAGGTTACCTGGGGGAGGGGAAGTATGGGGTAGGGTAGCAAAAGATACAAGCTATAAGGGCTTCCCCCGTGGCTCAGGAGTAAAGAATCTGCCTGCAGTTCCAGGAGCCCAGAGACATCGGCTCGCTTCCTGGGTTGGGAAGATCCCCTGGAGGAGAGCATGGCAACTCACTCCAGTATTCTTGCATGGAGAATCCCATGGACAGACGAGCCTGGTGGGCTACAGTCCGTAGGGTTGCAAAGGGTTGGACATGACTGAAGCAACTGAGCACACACGCATTAGGTATAAAATAATCTACAAGGATATACTGTACATCACAGGGAATATTGCCAATATTTGATAATAACTATAAAAGGAGTATAACCTTTAAGAATTGTGAATCACTATAATGTACACTTGTAATGTTGTAGCCACGCGTTCTGGGAAACAAACTCACTCAGAAGGACAATGCAGATAGTGGAGTGCAGTTTATTACACCGGCGGGCCCACAGCAGAGTCTCCTCTTAGCCAAGGACCCCGACCAGTTTTCGTGAAAACTTTATATACCCTAAGTGTACTTGCTCAAACACACCTCCCCAAATTCCTTGAAACTAGCCTGGACAAGGTGAAAGAGAGATACGATCAGAGTTAACCCATGATTCATGTGTCACAAGACTAGATAAAGAGTGGATATTTATCGATAGGCCTGTGGTCATATCCCGATAAACATAATGGAATCTACCACTTTGTTCTGTTACAGAAATAATGAGCATATTCTTTTAGGCGACGGAGAGTCCAAGTACAAGTCCTGAGGCTCTCTTATCTGGGGGGTCTGGTTTCCCATTGGTATGCCATTTCTATAGACACCGGGCACAAAGTTCAGAGTCTATTGGGAGGGTGACCATGCGTGTAGCCTAAGGTTCACAGTCTGGCCTGAGATGGAGTCCAGCTCTGTCTGTTTCCTCCTTCAGTAACTTACATCAAATATACTTCAATTTTTAAAAAAAGTAATTACTGACAGGCAAATAATTTTTAAAATATTCTGCAGAATTATTTATTTAACCTCAGCCTCCTCTACCATACTGTTATTAACAGCTCCATGAGGACAGGAGCTAAGCTCTCTGCCTTACCATACTCTTTCCGCTGTCTTTCCCAGTGCCTGACACATAGCAGATGCACAAGGAATATTTGTGGAATAGATGAAAAATGAACTCCATATGGCTTGGTGGTGGAGGGAAAGGCAAATCTGGGTACATAAAGAAGAATCTCGATGTCGTTAAATTCATGGGCGTTCTCTGAAGAGGGGCGGGTGGGGGTGGTGGGAGGGAGGCACAAGAAGGAGATATATATCTATCTATGGTGAGTCCCATTGCTGTACAACAGTCACTAACACAACATTGTAAAGCAATTACACTCCAATTAAAAAAATAAATTAAATAATTAATGGAAGTTGTTTGGAACACATTCCCAGTGTCTCTACAAAGCAAGCACACCCTGCATCCACCAGGGTCTTTCCTCTAGCATTTTTTAAGAGCTTCCATTTCACCCAGGTTTCATTGTCTGACACACAATTTGTCATGACCCTAGTTCCCACACTTCTTCCTTAAGGCAGATGTTTGCAGGATGAACAATCCCCAAAGGAAAGGCTGCTTGCCAGGTAGAATAGTCAAGTTCACACCCTTGAACACAAAGCAAATTGCTCTAACAATATGGGGAGGGATGGCTGACAGAGGATTTGCATACCTGTGTCACAGTGTTCATGCTCAAGGTCACCACCTTCTGAAAATGGCCCTCTTCCAAGTGACATTGTCCTTCAGAGGTGACTGGGTTCCACCCCAGCTACATGGTGTCAGTCTCAATTAGTTTTGGACAGTTGTGGTGGTCTCACTCTCCTTGTCAAGACATTGCTGTAGGCATGGAGATGTAACACAGTTCTGATTTCTAGGATGTGAGGGGAAGTCTAGGGATGTTTTCAGAAAATTTCCTTGTAGGGACTTGCCTGGTAGTCCATGTGCTTCCACAGTGCAGGGACATGGTCCCTGGTCAGGGAACTAAGATTCCACATGCTACGCACAGTGCCCCACCCCCCCCAAAAAAAG